CCGCAAGTGGCTCGGCACGTGATGCTCCTCGAATCGGAACCGCACAATTGCAGAGGATCTTTTGCAAGCCTGCGGATGAGTGTCGCTTCAATGACCTCTGAACGCGGCTTAAGTCGGTCCTAAGGTACTGCTGGGTGTGATAAGAGAGAAGAGAGAAGAAAAAAAAATTCAGTCTCCAGTTGTGAAGCCACATGTCGTGGTTTTCCCTCCAGCTGAGAGCCCGTCTTTTGCGCAGCTGCACGAGTCGCACCACCGCCAGCCACTGCATCGGCTACAGCTCGAGCTACCCTTCCGGCCTCAGATCCAGTCCTATTAGCTACAGCTACAGCTCCAGCTCCAGCTCCAGCTCGAGCGATCATCGCTATTACAGGCACAGCCATCACAGCCAGCGCAGCTACAGATACTCCTCCAGGCGGGGCTTCGCAACCACCCACGTCAACACCATGGCCGCCACTCGCGATCCCACCACCCTGTCCAACTACGGCGCCTGGCGCACCAAGCACACCAGCGCCAGCTTCAACATTGACTTCGACAACAAGCGCCTCAAGGGGTCTGTTGTGCTGCAGCTGGAGAGCCAGACCGACAAGCAGAGCACCGAGATCATCCTCGACTCGCGCTTCGTCAAGGTTGAGGCCGTCACCGTTGACGGTGCCGCCGCCCAGTGGGAGCTCAAGCCGCACTCGGACCCCTTTGGAGCGCCGCTGCACATCCAGGTGCCCAATGGCGCGGCCAAGGGCGACGTCGTCAGCGTGGCCATCGAGCTCGAGACGACCAGCAAGTGCACCGCGCTGCAGTGGCTGACGCCCGCGCAAACCTCCAACAAGGAGCACCCGTACATGTTCTCCCAGTGCCAGGCCATCAACGCCCGCTCCATCTTCCCCTGCCAGGACACGCCCGACGTCAAGTCTACCATCAGCTTCAAGTTCACGTCGACGCTGCCCGTCGTGGCCAGCGGCGTCGCGGTGGGCGACCACACGGCCACGCCCGGCGTCGAGAAGGTGTACGAGTTTGAGCAAAAGGTGCCCATCCCTTCGTACCTGTTCGCCGTTGCCTCTGGCGACATCGTTGCGGCCCCCATCGGCTCCCGCAGCAAGGTCGTGACTGGCCCCAATGAGCTCAAGGGCTGCCAGTGGGAGCTGGAGCGAGACATGGAGAAGTTCCTGGAAATCGCCGAGAGCATCGTCTTCCCGTACAGGTGGGGAGAGTACAACGTGCTCGTTCTGCCCCCCAGCTTCCCATACGGAGGTGAGACTCTCCCACGTGTGCATCATACTTGAGTAGTGCCTTTCTTTTGACATGTGTTCTTAGGCATGGAGAACCCCATCTACACTTTTGCTACCCCCACAATCATCAGCGGCGACAGGCAGAATGTGGATGTCATTGCTCACGAGCTTGCCCATAGCTGGAGCGGCAACCTGGTGTCCAATGCCAGCTGGGAGCACTTGTAAGTATCGCTGACAGTGTCTTTGAAAGACTGCAAAATGAATCTGACCGAAATGTTTTTGCAGCTGGCTAAATGAGGGCTGGACGGTGTACCTGGAGCGACGAATCGAGGCTGCTGTTCACGGCGAGCCCCAGTTTGACTTTTCATCCATCATTGGCTGGAAAGCCCTTGGTGAGTAACCAGGTTTCTACTGATGTAGACGGGATCTAACAGCAACGCCAGAGGACGCCGTTGCACACTTTGGCAAGGACCACGAGTACACCAAGCTCATCATCAGCCACGACAACGTGGACCCCGAGGACGTGTACAGCACGGTTGCCTACGAGAAGGGCTTCCACTTCCTCTACTACCTGGACCGCCTCGTCGGCCGGGACAACTTTAACAAGTTCATCCCCCACTACTTCACCAAGTGGGCTGGCAAGTCTCTCGACTCCTTCGAGTTCAGGGATACGTTTGTAGACTTCTTCAACAACCTGGGTGACGAAGAGGTCAAGCAGAAGGTTGCCACCATCGACTGGGAGGGCAGATTCTACACCCCTGGCTTGCCTCCTAAGCCCGAGTTTGACACCACGCTTGCCAGCCAGTGCTACGAGCTGGCTGAGAAGTGGAAGGATGCTGTAAGTTTGATCTTCAAAGAGATTTTTTTCTCTGTCTTTTATTCTGTGCTTGTCGGATTCTAACGGCGCAAACAATAGTCCTATGAGCCCAGCCCCAAGGATGTCGAATCCTTCTCTTCCAACCAAAAGATTGTCTTCCTCGAGAAGCTGCAGCAGTTTGAACCCCTGAGCACCGAACGTGCCCAGCTCCTCGGCAGCGTCTACGACCTGCTCAACACGCAAAACGTCGAGCTCAAGTTTGCCTACCTCCAGCTCGCCCTCAAGGCCAACGACGCCACCAGCTACCAGACCACGGCCGATCTGCTCGGAAAGGTCGGCCGGATGAAGTTTGTGCGACCCTTGTTCCGCTCCCTGAACAAGGTTGACCGGAACCTCGCCCTGGAGACGTTTGCCAAGAACAAGGACTTTTACCACCCCATCTGCAGGGGTATGGTGGAAAAGGATCTCGGTGTCTAGATTGGTTCCCCCCTATTTACGGCCAATGAGAAAGAAATTGTAAAAAGAAGTAAAAGAAGAAAGAAGAAGCATGTGGAATGTTATCCATCTGTCATGCCTAATGTTGCGTTGTATCATGTGCTAGTGAGATGTCATGTCTAGGTGATCCAGCTATTACTCGAGGAACGTTGAAGTCTTCATGCTTTCCGACCACTTCTGCCCCTCTTTTCGCTCGAATTTCTCGAGGCCCTGGACGTCCGCAGTGCCAAAGTTGCCGTACAGGTGCGGGAACCCAGATTCCCACTTGAGCGGATCGGCCAGCTTTGCCAGTTCGAGCTTGACGAGCCACAGCTGCGTGGCATCCGTGAAGAACAAGTCGGCCGTGTTCGGGACCTAGTAGTAGGTTTTGCCTCACGAGATCAGACATGGGGTACACATCCCAGACATGCAGCAGTCCAAGGAGAACATTGAATGGGAGAGAAGAGTCATTTGTGTTGGTATTTCAAGTATTACCTGCGTAGCTGTGCTTAGGTGAACGAAGCCGTCGTTTGCATCGAGTTGGGAGAGGGGGAACGCTTCGGGGAGAGGATCTTGCGGAGGGGAGGGCAAGATCTTGTAGATGTATTTGGGGAGGGGGTTCGGGGCTGACATTGTCGATGTGAGAATATAAGCGTTTCTCTGTTCGAATGTCTGCTTGCGCAGCGTAACAATTGTAACGTGAAGATGAGAAATCGATATGGGATGCGGTTCGAGCGCAGGAAAAGCGCCGATGTCAGCAATGAGCACGGAATATCTGACCAGATGTCATACAGTGCGCGCGCATCGCCCACTCATACAGTACGATTGGTGATGGCTAGCGCGGGGCTGCTTGTAAGAGCACACAGTTTGTGCTGCCACTGGAACTTGAGAGCCTACGAAGTTGCATGTTTGCAGAACCAGTCAGAATCCCACGACTCTTCCAATGAAAGTTTGCTGAGCTTACAGAGCCTGGCATGTCGTGGGGGCCTGTTCCGTCCAAGCTCTGTCTGCTCTCCCAGCTACAACATGTCCCCGTCGGTGACAAGGTGAGATTCCTCGGATGGTACGTCAGAGCATTCATGACTTGTCTCCCTCATGGGCATCTGTTCAACTGCTTAAGCTTATAACAACAGCGTCATCTCATACGATACCGGGACAGCATGCCTCATGCTAGGGCACATGTACCCTCCAGGCACCAACGAGACTGTCCGGGTCAACATCGAGCTGGTTCTGGAGACGATCCAGCCCGGGCTGACGCACGTCGGGCAATGGGTCAATGTTGTAGGGTATATCCGGGAGGGTAAAGGGTCGTCGCCTGTGCATGTCCAAGCACTGCTGGTGTGGCTGACGGGGCCGCTGGATCTTGGGCGGTATGAGAAGAGCTTGCAGGATCAGATGGGCCTCGATTGTGTGAACTGAAGCCTGGGAGTGAGTACCAGAAGCACTGATGATTATATACATGTACTCAGCAATAAGAGGACAAGATCAGCGATGAACGCTCATAGAGGAAGGTCAAGCCACGAGGCAGGGCGACGCAGAAGCACATCATCATCACTGAAGCACCAAGTGCCGTATCCATAAGTTTCCATCCATCCAAAGCCCGTATTTACATGCATCACGAACCCCCCAGCCCCTAAACACGTTAGCAATCCATCCATGCGCTCGATCCCCTAAACTTGCATCGCTGCCCCCCCTAAACTGCCCCCCATCCCCCATCCTGGCCGGCGATAGAGGCTCAATCCCCTCCAACCCGCGACGGCTAATCCGCGGCCACCGCCTGCATCCCCGGCTCACCAGCTCCAGCTGCCAAAGTTGACCGCATCAACACACGTGAACCTCCCCTGCGCATGCACTGCGCTTCTCCGCCCCCAATCAGACCGACCGGTTCGACACACACAAAGAGGGTCACAGAGGGTCGCTCCAGTCCAGCCGGCAAGGAGGTCCAAGATCCAGCGCGACCGCGTTTCTCCTGGCGACCGCCGACTCCTGCTCGTGCTTGCTTGACGATTGTCAGTCGTGCATCTTCCCACGTCCAACTTCGCCTCTACGTAGTTGGTGTCTCTCGTCCGCCTCGACCAACGCCGACGCTGAGCGCTGCCCACCTTCGAAGCGGCCTTTTGCGCCATCCAAGTCCGGCGCGACCTTGGGATACGACAGTCCTTGCGACGGCCGCTTGCGAAAACGCTCGACCTCGGGGATTTCGGAGCTCTTCGCTGCGACTGAAAGAGGCTATCCCGCAGCTCGAGGCATGGCCACGAAGCCTTGACGGGACTGCAGTTCTTGTGTATTCCGGTGTTTCTGCTTTCCTTTGGTACTTGTGTCCTCGGTGACTTTCGCCTGCAAACGCATGGGGGCGTCGTTCCGCTAGCTCTCCCTCATCGCACCCGTCTGCAACGATTCACCTTCACCGATCCGGGCGCATTGCCCGCAAATCCGCGCGGCCTCCGAGGGGACCAGCATAGGTCCCCGCATACATTCAAGCAGCCATGGCGCCAGCTGGGGGAGGAAACATCAAGGTGGTGGTGAGAGTGCGGCCGTTCAATGGCAGAGGTGGGTTCATCGGCTCGTGGCCGCCAGGCGGCGTCATCCCAGGCGGTCAACGGCAGGCTTGCGCATGACGACACAGAGGTTAACACGCTTGACTACAGAAATTGACCGCGGATCAAAATGCATCGTCGCAATGGAAGGGAACCAGACCGTCATCACCCCGCCGGACGGTCACTCGGTCAAGGGGACCAAGGATACCGCCCCAAAGGCGTTCGCCTTCGATCGGTCATACTGGTCCTTCAACAAGGACGCTCCCAACTATGCGGGCCAGCATAACCTCTTCGAGGACTTGGGCGCGCCGCTCTTGGACAACGCCTTTGAAGGGTACAATAACTGCATTTTCGCCTACGGCCAGACGGGTTCCGGAAAGTCGTACTCCATGATGGGTTATGGCAAGGAAATTGGTATCATTCCCATGATTTGTCAGGAAATGTTCCGGAGGATAGATAAGATCCAGGGAGACGCATCCAACAAATGCACCGTCGAGGTATCCTACCTGGAAATTTACAACGAGCGAGTCCGCGATCTGCTCAACCCTTCGACCAAGGGCAACTTGAAAGTTCGAGAGCACCCGTCCACCGGTCCCTACGTCGAAGACCTCGCCAAGCTCGTTGTCACCAGCTTCCAAGAGATTGAGAACCTCATGGACGAAGGAAACAAGGCCAGAACTGTTGCCGCAACCAACATGAACGAGACGTCCAGTCGAAGTCATGCCGTCTTCACGCTCATGTTGACGCAGAAGAAATACGATGCCGCGACGAAAATGGAGATGGAAAAGGTTGCCAAGATTAGTCTGGTCGATTTGGCCGGTTCTGAGAGAGCCAACTCGACTGGCGCAACGGGCGCGCGATTAAAGGAGGGTGCGGAAATCAACAGATCGCTTTCCACGCTCGGTCGTGTCATTGCGGCGCTGGCTGACTTGTCCACGGGCAAGAAGAAGAAGGGTGCCTCTCAGGTGCCATATCGTGACAGTGTACTTACCTGGTTGCTGAAGGACTCTTTGGGAGGAAACAGTATGACGGCCATGATTGCGGCCATCAGTCCTGCCGACATCAATTACGACGAGACGATAAGTACGCTCCGGTATGCCGATTCCGCGAAGCGAATCAAGAACCATGCCGTTGTCAACGAGGATGCGAATGCTCGTATGATCAGAGAACTCAAGGAAGAGCTCGACCTCTTGAGAAGCAAGCTTGGTGGTGGTGGTGGTGGTGGTGGAGGTGGTGGAGGTGCCGGTGGAGGTGCCGGCCTCCCGCCAGATGAAGTCTACGACGAGAGTACCCCACTGGAGAAACAGATTGTGAGCATCACAGCGGCCGATGGCACAGTCAAGAAGGTTTCAAAGGCAGAGATTGCGGAGCAGCTGAGCCAAAGCGAGAAGCTCCTTACAGACCTGAACCAGACCTGGGAGGAGAAGCTGGCCAAGACGGAGGAGATCCACAAGGAGCGCGAGGCGGCGCTGGAAGAACTCGGCATCAGCATCGAAAAAGGATTTATCGGTCTGCACACACCAAAGAAGATGCCCCATCTTGTCAACCTCTCAGACGACCCCCTTTTAGCAGAGTGTCTGGTCTATAACCTCAAGCCCGGCACAACCACCGTAGGCAATGTGGACACAAACGCAGAACACCAAGCCAACATCCGCCTCAACGGCACCAGGATATTGCATGACCACTGTACCTTTGAGAACGTCGACGGAGTCGTGACTGTCATACCTCGTGAAGGCGCATCGGTCATGGTCAACGGCAAGCGAATCACCGAGCCCAAACAGCTGCATTCTGGGTACCGAGTCATCCTCGGAGACTTTCACATCTTCCGATTCAATCATCCTATGGAGGCTAGGGCGGAACGAGCCGAGGGCGAGGGCCAAAGGCAAAGCCTGCTACGGCAGTCCATCACCGCAAGCCAGCTGCAAGCCCTCGGCCCGGTGCCACAGACTCCCCGGACTCCCGGACACGAAAGGTCTTTTAGCAAAGTTTCAATCTCAGACAGCGGAGAGATTTCTCGGCCTGATTCACCGGCCTTCTTCGGGCGCAACGGCAAGGACTCTGACTGGTCACTCGCACGAAGAGAAGCTGCCGGCGCCATTCTCGGGACTGACCATAACTTCGCCAGCCTGACAGATGAAGAGCTCAATGCATTATTTGAGGAGGTGCAGAGGGCTAGAGCGGAGCGTGTGAATGTGCGCGACGATGGAGACGACTCCGAGTCAGCCACGTCGTACCCGATTCGGGAGAAGTACATGTCCACAGGAACCATTGACAACTTTTCTCTCGACACGGCCCTGACGATGCCCTCGACGCCCAGGCAGGGAGATCAAGATGATCGATTCAGGGAAGTACGAGAGGAATTCCAGTCTCAGTTTGAGAGGCAGAAGATGGAATTTCTCGGCCAGCTCAGAGGCGCTGAGGCTTCTGACATGGAGGTTGATGAAATCAGACGAGAAAAGGCCCGCATGGAGACGGCCCTCAGGGAACTCAAGGAGGACATGGAGAAGCAGCTTAGCCTTCAGCGCAAGCAGTTTGAGGAGAAAATCGAGAAGATGGACCCCCTGAAGCGCCCCAAGGCCAGCCCTAGACTGTCTGACGGGGAGATTGACATTGCAAAGAAGACGGTCAAGGCATGGCGAAGCCGCCACTTTGTCAAAATGGCGGAAACCGTGCTCCAGAATGCACACATCCTGAAGGAAGCGCAGATCATGAGCAACGAGCTTGACGAGAGCGTCGTCTTCCAATTCACCACTGTGGATCAGGGACACGTGCTGTGTTCCTCGTACGATATGGTCCTCAACGGCTTGACGAGCGAAGGAGACGATGTGGCGCTGGAGGAGGCCTATAAGCCTTGCATCGGTGTCCGCGTCATTGACTACAAGAACAGCGTCGTTCGCCTGTGGAGTCTGGAGAAGCTGTATGAGCGAGTGCGCGTGATGCGCCAGATGCACCAGTACCTCGATCAGCCAGAATACGCCCAGCACCTGAGCCTGGACAACCCGTTTGTTGAACTCAACATGCCCTCATACACCCTCGTTGGCGAGGTCGACATTCCCCTGAGGGCCGTGTTTGAAAGCCGAGTGCAGGACTTTGCGCTTGACGTCCTTTCCCCCTACACCTCTCACGAGGTAGGCATGATCAAGCTGTCGATCGAACCATCTCAAGCCCGAGCACCGACCAATACGCTCAAATTTAACGTCGTTATGCACGAGATGGTGGGCTTTGCCGAGCGAGAGGGCACAGACGTCCACGCCCAGCTGTTCATCCCGGGCATCTCGGAGGAAGACGGCATCACGACGACGCAGATGATTCGAGACTTTGACGAAGGGCCGATCCGCTTCGAGAGCGTTCATAGCATGAGCGTACCCTTGTTTGCGACGCCAGAGGTTACGCTGAGAGCGGCCATCTTTGCCAAAGTCTCGACAATGCACCTCGACAAGCTCCTTAGCTGGGACGACATGAGGGATGCCTGTCCCACGGCTGACGGTGCAAAGGGGGCTCGCATCAACGAGTCGCAGTTCTATACCCAGGAAAAGCACGACCTGCTTTCTCGAATTCAGATCATGGAGCTCAACGAACACGGAGAGTACACGCCTGTCGAGGTGACGCAGAGCAGCGAGCTTGACAGTGGAACATTCCAGCTGCATCAAGGTTTGCAGCGGCGCATAAGCATTGATATTTCGCACAGCTCGGGAGACATTCTGCCCTGGGGAGACGTCACCGCCGTCCGCGTTGGTAGGATTCAGACCATTGACTCGGCTGGCAAATCCCCCGACATGGTCACAGATCGCGACATCTCTCTCAAGCTTGCGGGAAACCCCGTCTTCCGAGAGAACCCCAACGGCACGCGCAACATTGTGGTCCAAGCCCAATGGGATTCCAGCTTGCATAACTCGCTTCTCCTCGACCGCGTCACGCCCGAAAAGTTCCGCGTCCAAATGACCGTCACCTGGGATATTTCCTCTGAGAAGCTCGCGGAGCCCATGAGGTTCTCGCAAAAAGTGAATCTGCAGATAATGCCGCGCACCTTTGTCAGACAAAGCTCTGTGTTCTCGTCACTGTGGCAGAATATGCGGTTTGTGCGCTCTTCTACTGGAATCTTCACCCTGACCATGAAGCCTGCCCCGATCAAGAGAGTGGGCGATTTGTGGCGGATGAGCAGTCAGCACGACTATGTCAAGGGCGAGGAGAACCTCCACAGCTGGACACCCCGCGGCGTGTCTCTCGTCAGCGATTTCCTCCACTCCAAGAAGAAGAGGCGGCGCAACGCTGAACTTGGGGCCATAAGCAGCATGCTTGCTCAATATGGCATTGACGTTACGGCTCCTCGGAAGGAGCCGCAAGAGGCTGAGCCTGCGCCCGGGTTATCGCCAGATATGGAGCCCATCATTCCCAATGACGATGACTTGCTCAACGATACGCCCGTGACATCCCAGGCCCCGTCTATCCATGAAGACGAGGCAGCGGACGAGGAGCCTGTGACCGGAGAGGAAGCCCCTAAGGCTGACCAGGAGGAAGCAGCGCCACAGGAAGACGGGGAGCAAGAAGCGCCGCAGGAAGACAAGCCACAGCCCATTGCTCCGCGGTCCGAATATAACACGCGGCAAACCGACCTCTTGGAACATTGCCTGAAGCTCTGGAAGAAATACCCAGACCCGTTTGTGAAGCTCTTGAGCCCGGAAAACACGCTGCCCCCTGAGAATGGAGTCACGACGGAGCCTGCTCCTCCCAGCCTTATCACAACTATTGTGCGCGTGCCCAAGAACCCCAAGGTGCAAAAGGGCGGATATCTGTTGGTGCCAAACAACGAATCTACGCGATGGGTCAAGAGGTTTGTGGAGCTGAGAAGGCCCTATCTTCACATCTACTCCGCCTCAGACGGCGACGAAATCGGCCTGGTCAGCCTGCGCAACTCCCGCGTAGACAGCCAGCCCGGGGTCCTCGGCTTGCTACACGGACCGGACGACTACGACTCACCGCCGCGAAGCTCCAACTCGCCAGAATTCACGCCCGGCCACCGACGCACGGGTTCGGGACGGGTGATTTCGACGATCTGGACCGCCGCCAGTGGCGGAGGCTCCTCGTCTGCCGGACCGGGACTGCAAAGACTCAGCGAGCGCATGCAAGCGGCCGTGTTTGCGATTTACGGGACGGACAACACGTGGCTGTTTGCCGCTCGCAGCGAGCGCGACAAGACGGACTGGATCTTTAGGATTGACCAGACGTTTGCTTCCAACGGCGAGAACACGCCTGTCAGCGGCATCATGAGCCCCGGCCGGAACAGCGACTGTTGAAGAAGGGATGAAAACGATGAAAAAGGAAACATCAAGACAGAAAAGACGAAATGAGAAATGAGCTTGAGGAAGAATTATGAAATAATTTTGAAACGGATTGTTGTTTTTTCTTTGTTTGCGCGCTCCCTTATCACCCTTTTTGAAGTTCCTTTTTCCTTCTTATGCCCCCCCTTACTTTTTACACAAACACACACACACACATACCTACATATATACATACATACATATATCTCTTTGCCCTTTTCCCCCTTTTCATGTGGTCTTTACGACAACGAAGTTAGATTATACCCCCCCTTTTTTTCAATTTCCAAAGCTGGAATGCAAGCAAAGCAGGAGAGCAAGAAGATGAAGTGAGGGAGGATTTTGCAGATTGGCTGGTGGGATGAGGAGAATGAGAGAAGAAGGCGCATTATAGAATAGAAAGGAAGAGGGTTCACTCTCTGGTGGAGGAGGAGGAGGGGGTTTGGATAGCTAGCTAGCTAGCGAGTAGGTTAGTAGTAAAGGAAGTGAGTAGGTAGTACGACAGATTATGATGAATGCTATAAGTAGAAAGATGAAAAGGGGCTTGGTTCGCAACATATGATGACTGCTGCTGTGCTTATTCTATGTATATCTTTCATGACCTTTTGTGCTCCTGATGTCCAGGTAGAAAGTGACCAGTGGCCACTTGGTAGGTAATCTGACTTGTCTGCTTCTTCACAAGGCAAGAGTATACATCTTCGTCCGTCACTGGACGATCTGTTCCAGGAAGAAATATATAATTGGTCGCAGAGAGACACTCCCCGGCTTGGCATACGCTGAGCGTAGAGATAAAAAGCAAATTGCTTGCAGGCAGTGTCACGGATCACGTGCCGCCGCACCTGACCTGGACCATACAGGTCCTGACACTTGCGCCCACGCTTTGGTAGCTAGCTTAGTTTCTGCATCTCACTTTCATTCATCGCATTTACACTTCGTTGTTCATCACGACATCTGAGTCCAGTGCCCTGATTGTTTGTTTCGATCACTACGTTCTCTGATAGGCAGTGAGAGTAGCAGCTTATTGGCTTAGTAAACGAGCATGTCAATGCGAGGAACGCTTGATCATTCACTTTTTTCCTCCAAGTAACCTGTTTCTGGTTGGTGGCATGGGGAGGGGTGTGGCATGTAATATTCATGCGTTGCTGCCAGGCGAAATAGTCTGACTGTCTGTATGTGAGCTGTGCAGGTTCCAGTCGCTTCTCTAAAGGTATTGCGGAATACTCCTTAGCCAACTTGACGCAATCCGCGGTGATCCCATCTACCGTACCCCTGTTGAGCTCGCCATTTGCTTCATACAGGATATAGAATTCCTGTATCACCCTCTTTCAAGTTGATATATCTCGTACAAGGCACTTCGTACGACATACTATATCCGCACCATTTCATGCACGCTGTCCCGTCTTGTCATATATCACATGTTGATGAAACATGTCCATTGGGCCTTGTTGGGGCGAGGGAGAGGCCCTTGCTCTGATCCTGTGTGACCGGTGAGAGGAGGCCGGGGGGAAGACGGACGACTCCTTGTCAGCTGAAAAAGTCGCTGCGACGGGCCTTGTCATGCCTTCGGTCCGTGCCTTTGGAGGTCATCAATCTCCCAGAGAGCGTGTGAGTACTCCGTGCGTTTGGGGCAGGGTCGTAGTTTGCAAGTGTATAAGTTCTGTCAGGAATGTGAACCATCAAGGGGCTCTGCAACGTAACATAGCTGCTGTGCTCCCTGATATATCAGTTGCAGATACTCATTTGTGTGAATAGTCGTCTCAAGTATAGTAGTTTAGCAGAGGCCGCCTAATATCCATATAATACTGGTCTGATCGCATATTGGGAAGATATAGTCTGCGTAGCCTAAATATGGCGTGCACGGGATTGTCCCTACTATTCGTCCAGAAGTTCTTGCGCTGCCCATCCACGACGTCGTCCTTGCGCTTGCAAGCTGACAGGGTATTCCTTCTCCGTTGCATATACCCGAGGTAGGTCAGTCGTGCAGGATGCAAGATGCATGGTATGCTCGAGATGGTAAAGCTCAACCGTAGCTAACGTGCCTGGTGTCAGAACTAACTCACCCAATGGTAGCCACAGCCCTCAAATACCAGGGCGGTGCTGTGCTGTGTATGCGTGAACACAAGACAGAATATGCAGGATAACAGCGCTGTTAATATCAACCCGTGGTACTGGGTAGAGATGGGTCGGCTTTGCTCCAGCGCATTCGCACATAACACGTGTACGAGCATGTAAGTAACATGTCAGACGGGGGCGTCATTCAGGCTTCGACATGGCCCGGATGCTTTTGCTCCCGGAGAGCGGGAAGAGTCCAATTGGAGAAGAAGAGGGGGATAAGTCTTGTTTGGAAAGTATCGACGAGTTGCCCTGCATATACAACTAAAGTGCCGTCTCCATGGGATGGAGTTGACTAAAGATGCTTTGTTCATGTCCGGTCCAATGACTGATCAGTCCAGAGCCTCGGGGAGGAGCAGGGAGCATCACACAAGCTGACCATCCAGGAAGAGAAGCAGAAGCTGGTATCCCTGCCAGGCATGTGATGCTCGGTAGCCCTGCGATAGAGCCAGTAAGAGACAATCCCTAAACTAATGTACGAGGACCCAAGGAAGAGTGCCCAAGGTGCCAATGAATGAATGGCAGAGCGTCTGCATTGACAGAAACAAGTTGAGATTCCGAGTACGAGCTCGGGTGGTCAATAGGAAGTACCTAAGGTACGTACTGGATAATTCGCACTTGCACATTCATGTGCATCGTCGCACCTGCCGTGTGAGAGAGGCAGATCACGGGTGGTGAAGGCCATCAAGTCATTTTGTATCGGCAGAATGTGCGCAGATGGAGCAGATCCTGACATTTAGGTACACAAGACAACAGCTCAGAGACTTCACCAAATGCTTCACGCTCGTACGACCGGGGAAATGAGATACAGCGGCTGCTCTGCTCTCCTCCTCGCCCATCTCTCGCCCGCGTCTCGGCCGCCTCTCGCTCGGCCGCACCCCAACCGCCGACTCTCGTCTCGCTGCTTGTTTTCTCCCGAGTGGATGGACTGGGCTGCATATGCGGCCACGAAAAAGCAAAGAGAAAACAGCCCTGCCTGTCTTCATTGGACCAGCTGCATCTCGTTTGTCACGACAACTCGCAAGCGGTTCGAATGGCTCAGCCAGAGTGGGTGGCGTCTTACAACCGCCATCTGCCGTCTGCCAACCGGAGACGCACACGCGCTCCCAGTCGTCCCAGCACCCTGGCCGAGATCCCTAGCCGCTGCGGCACGGTTATGCATCTTCGGGGACACCAGAGATGCTGGAGAGTACTGTTTGTCTCACACTGGTGCCAGGCTAAGGCGAGCAAGCAGCGGCCTACTCGGTACGGACTGCATGGGTAGACGGGCCAAGGAGACAACTAGCCCCCACCGGTCCCAGACGTCTGGGACGTGATCCGACGCTGAGCATCGCGGGCTAAGAGGACCGTCGGCCTGATCCGCCACCCGCTGTCCAAGTGCTCCCAAGCGCGGCCAAGAGCCTCATTGACGCCGGGCGGATGACCTTTGGCGAGTGGCCCTAGGCGAATGGCTTCTAGCGCGGGCCAGCCACCCAGATCAGCTCCGGAGGACATGTCCGGATACTTGCTGCTGTTGATGCATTCTCCAGCTGACCCAGTGGAAGCGGTCGTGTGGCATGCCAATACATAACGGGTGTCCTTTGCTTGCCTGGGTTCTGGTGTCTCGATCTCGGGCTTGGTGGCCCCCCACCATGTCTCGAATCCTTCTGGCTGGTCGAACCAGCTTCCCGGGACTTGGAGCCAAGGGTCTGGTTACAGCACACGGAACTCTATGCCTGCTGTCGAGCCCAGCCCTCCACTCACACACTCTCCGTGGTCCTCCTTTCTCCGGGATTCCTAGGCTTGTTCTTGTCATCATCAGGCGGCCCTACTTATTTGCTGTCGTCCCCCCTCCTTGGGGACACTGACATCCGTGCTTTTGGCGCTATGCGTCCCACTCCCATCTGCTACTGGCTGCTCGCTCAGCCAAAGGCCATCTAGTCTGGTCGAGATTGACGGATTGGCCCGCAGAATAAAGAGCCCTAAACAACAAAATATTCCGAGAGACAGAGACAAGAGGCTCCGACCCCCTGCAGCAGAGCACGGTCGAAGTTGTCCTGTTGGCACACGAGTTGCGTTTTTGGCACCATCTCAGCCCCGGTTCTTTGAGGACCCCCCCTTTACCGCCTGCTTGGGTCGGTGGTTGTCGGTGTGGATGGATTGCATCTCATCGTTGCCGTCATTCTGAAATATGCTTTCCAGCTAGTTCCGCCGGTGCTTCTCGCATATCTCCAGCCCTCCGCCTTCGATCTCCCAGCTCTTCGTTAGTGCCTCGGAGCTGCCCAAAGAATTTCACGGCGTTTTCGTTTGCCTAGCTCGTGGTTGCGCATTCCACTTACAGTCTTCCGCTCACCTTTCCTTCTGCTTCTTTATGTCAATATATCCAAGCGTCCTCCTTGGCATTTGACGGTCACCAGTTTGCCATTCAATACATTTGCTTCTCACATTCCTCCCTCTTTCATACCCAAGGCTTCTAGGATTATAGGCAGCAATGGAAGAGGACCAGTCACAGTCACAGCCACAGCCATCCAAGAGCGGTGGCCAAGCGGCTTCGGGGTTGGAAGATTATCAGTTTACCTTCAATTGTTCTGCACCTAGCTCAACCAACGGCAGCTTCCTTGAGCCCGATGTACGTTTTCCTCTTACACCTTTGAATCCCTTCAGCAGTTGAGATGGTAGTAACTAATAGTGACACACCAAGCCACAGGCCGTGTCCATGTGCGTAGACCGCAACCAACCCGTTCCCCGAATCTCATCCCGGCCTTACATTACCAGGCTAATCATCCGTCTAGGACCGACGATTCCATGTCACTGACGGAGAGCATCTTTGACTTTCCGAAGCGATTTGGCCGAACCTATCATGCGTATAAAGAAGGATGTAAGATGAAGCAACAGCCCGTTTCGCAGTGATGACGCAACTTGACCGCGATCACTAACTCCAGTACTCTTCTAGCATACATGTTCCCCAATGACAAGTTGGAACAAGATCGCCTGGCCATACAAGATTATGCATTCACGAAAGCAATGGGAGACAAGCTCTACTTTGCCCCGCTGGATGCACGACCCCCAAGGAGAATCCTGGACATTGCCACCGGCACAGGAGATTGGGCGATAGCAATGGGCGATCGCTTCCCGGAGGCCAGAGTTACGGCTACGGATCTGTCGCCAATCCAGCCCGATATCGTTCCGATGAACGTCGAGTTCTTTGTGGAAGACAGCTCCGAGCCCTGGGTCTTCAGTGAGCCCTTTGACTATATCCATACCAAAACGACGGGCGGCTGTTGGGAATCCTTCGAGACCCAGATCGTGCAACAAGCTTTTGACACACTCTCTCCCGGAGGCTGGTTCGAGGCCCAGGAGTGCTGCCCTGTCCCACACTGCGATGACGGCACGTTCAAGGCGGATAGTGCGCTGGCCTTGTGGTTCCTTGACTTTCTCAACGCCGCTGTCGCGGCCAAACGCCCTCACGCAGAGTTTGGCTATCTGAAAAGCATGATGGAGCGGGTGGGATTCGTAGATATCCATCAGAGAATATTCAAGGTCCCTCTCAATGGATGGGCCAGAGACCCAGCGCTGAAGGAGATTGGCCAGCTGATGGAGACGAACATGCAGATGGGATTGAGTGCCTTTTCGCTAGGCCTTTTCAATCAAGTCTATGGACGGACGCCTGAGGAAATTGAGGTGAGAAAACTCTTCTTCTGCTCATGTCTATGTTCAACGCCACAAACTAACAAAGGTATGCCTGAAGGTATCCCTTGTCGAAGTCCGACGAGAGGTGTCGGATCCCTCGATTCACGCATACTTGCCTATTTTCGTCGCTTGGGGAAGGAAGCCGTTTCCGGGGGAGCAATCATGACAAGGGCTATACTAGACATGTTTATCGCACCAGACTTTGTTTCTCTCGCTCCCTTTTGTCAGCTATGATACATCTACAAGGGCTCTTTTGGCGAAGGATACCACGGCGTTTAGGATCGGACAAGTCCATGTCACATGAAAGTGGCGACGGTTTGGGTTTTGATGGCGCAGCTGGTGATCACATAACCATGTTACTTCTGGGAAATGTGGCCGTGCTGTTTGGGGTACGAGCTGGACGAAAGAGGAGCCCGGTTGAAGGATGGATCATGTGGGTTGCTTCTTTCTGAAGCTGTACATACTTCAAAGCATACATGCCAGAGTGGCTCAACATGTCCCTTCAACACTGCGCCTGAGATTCCCGCATTCCACATGGCCAACATCAATGCTTAACGAGCCACTCAAGCGCCTTGGCCTTTTCCTCTGGAAGAATCTCTGCTAAGCGCTCGCGAGAGAGAAACTCATGATCAGCGTACTCGAAGCCCGGCACAACGGTCTCGGTGATGAGCAAGCCGTCACTGCTCGACTCGCCATCAACGTCAGGCAGAAGGAAGCTCGCCTTCCAGTCACCGCCCTCAACCACCCACTGCAACTTCTCGCCTTTGTCGATGTTGGGTCCAACGATGAAGGATTCAATGCGGCCATCTGGATGAATGAGGACGTATCGGCCACGGCCCTTGTGGAGGGTGTGAATGATGCGGCTCCGGTTCCGATGGAACGAGCCCTGGGGGCGGTTCGGCGTGAGGTAGTAGTAGATTGTCGTGGACAGGCGGCGGACGGCGGGATCAAAGTCTGCGGGGAGGCCGCCGACGAGGTCAATTGTCTGCTGGGAGAGCGGCGTCTGCGGGTAGGGGGAGGGGATGGTGGTGGGGTTGACGTGGGTGACTGCGAAGTAGCCGCCTTCGACGTGCTCTATGAGGGAGAGGACTTTGAGGGTGAAGGACACGGAGGGGGATTCGGGGGCTGAAGAGGGGGTGAAGGTTGGTTTGAGGGGGGTGAGGTCGGTCATGATGTGTGGGTTTTGGTGTTGATTGACGGTGTATGTACGGAGTATGTATGAGAGTGGTTGCTGAGCGGTAGTAGATGTTGCGGGTTTTGATTCTTGAAATGTTGCGTTGAAGCTGTATATGGGGCTCGGAGAAGGATGGATGTCGGAGAAGGATGGATCTCGTCTACGTATTTATCGAACGACGAGGGGAGCTGTGAGGATTGCTTACCTTGTGGGCCGAGACGCCGTTGATGCCTGAGCTTCTGAAGCTGGCCGTGGTTATTGCATCATCTCAGTAAGCTCGAACGGGTGGTGCTAACCAAAGAGGTAATTTCCGCCTCACCGCCCGGCCTTGCGTATCAGCCCTCTATCAGGTTTGCTTCCGGAGTGTCGGAAGCGCTGGCAGTAGATTGGAAGAAGCAAGATGGAAACCAAGGATGCAAAGGCAAGTGCCTGGTAGAATGAAACGGTTGGAGATTTCATATCGGAGAATTTTCGAATGAGATGGAAGATCGACCCAGGTGAATCTGCCATACCTTCGCTTAGGTAGCTTAGCTACAGTACAGTACAAACTTTGTACGGCGGTTGTGACGTACTACCTACTAGTATCTCAAATCGCATTCGATCTGACTTTACTGAATCTCTTCCCCGTCTTCAAATCTCGACATCGTACGAGCCAAGACGAAACAGAAACCCCCGGCGACGCCCACCTTTTATCCGCAGAGGCACCGGCTGGGGGTTTGAAAGTTGGCAGCAACGGCAGGGAAAAGCAAAAGAGAAGGGTTCCTCGTGGGGAAAATGCTTCCCCGGCATCTGCTCCGGAGAAGCGGCGTCGTGCCGTCGGATGCGCTCCCTCCCCTGCGAGCATCCGGCGTGCTGCACGCAATTGCTCGACGCGATGGCCTCTGCGGCGGTTCCCGTTGTCGCTCCTCCATCTCTCACGCCGGATCTGCGTCTGCCTCTGGGCCACTGGGGAACAGGTCCAGGGCAAGGTTGTACTACCACCAAGACGCCCACGAGCGCCTGCGCAACGCAAAGCCCCTCGTGCCCAACACCGTGGCCAGCAGGCTCTCGCGCGCGGGCAGCAGCCGCAACTCGCGCGCCGTGGTGATTGCCTCGGTCGTGGCCGCCGTGGCGTTTTACCTGTGCAACTCGCAGACGTCGCCCGTGACGGGGCGCCGGCGCTTCAACTTCCTGTCGGACGCGCTGGTGGCGCAGGCCTACGCGCGGGCGGCGGATGCCATTGTGCGGCAGGTCGAGGAGCAGGGCGGGCACTTTCTGTCCAACTGGGATCCGCGGACGATGCTGGTGCAGCGGGTCATGAAGCGGCTGATTCCCGTCAGCGGCATGGAGGACCTGGACTGGGAGGTGCGGGTGATTGCAGACAGCCGTGGGTTTTTGCTCCTCTACGGCACCAATGTTGCTGCAGTAAATGCTAATTCGTTCTCATGAATGCAAGGAACCGCCAATGCCTTCGTCATCCCCGGCGGCAAAGTCTTTGTTCACAGTGGCATCCTCAACGTGTGCCGCAGCGAAGACGCCCTCGCCGCGGTCCTGGGCCACGAGATTGCGCACAACACGGCCTCGCACGCCGCGGAGCGCCTCTCCGCCGCCTGGGTCGGCAACCTGACGGCGGGCAGCCTCTTCTTCCTCGCCGGGGCGCTGCCGGGCCTGGCGCTGTTCGGCCTGTGGAACGTCATCGGCGGCTACTACCTGCAGGACCTGCTGTTCTACCTGCCCATGGGGCGCAAGCAGGAGAGCGAGGCGGACTACATTGGGCTGATGATGATGGCGGAGGCCTGCTACGATCCGCGGCAGGCGGTTGGGTTCTGGCAGCGGATGGAGACGATGCAGAAGATGGGCGGGCATGAGGTTCCCGAGATGCTTAGCACGCATCCATCGGTATGTTTTTTGCTCTTCGTTTCCATGATTTCACGATTTTGCAAGTCTTGTGGGTTAACATTGCAAGTAGAACGAGCACAGGATCAGGAAGATTGAGGAATGGCTGCCGGAGGCGATGAAGAAGCGCATGGAGAGCGACTGCAGAACAACGACGGCGTATGCCGATCGGTTCCGGGAGGCGCTGCGGAGGAGGCGGCCGGTGGTGGTTGAGCTGTAGGGGCTGTTGGACATGAGTTGTCTGCATGAGCACTGTCAATGGCTTTGGACATGCTAACAGCCGTATGTCTGAATAATAATAGAGGTCTTGTAGAATACATATGCATTAAAACTTGGTGATATAGCATCTCGTCTCCATCTAAATGCGTCTTAGTAATGTCACGAGACGTTTGCAATCGGCCTCGTCTCATTCGTTAGTCCAAAATCCGGGGTCTGTGCCGAGGTAACTTTTCCAAGTGGGAGCTCCCATGCCGCGCTTGTCCCTTTTTCTGGAGCTCCGTCCCATCATCATCATCAGCGTCTCTCTTTTTCCCTTTTACCGTTTTGTGCTTACTCTTGACTTTCTTTTCTTTTTCCTGAACAATTACAAATCACAGCGCCAACAGCATTGGCAAGCAGACTCCAATTACGCCAAAAGAGCAAAGAATAAAAACAACAGAAACAAAAACCCCCCAAAGTTCGAAAAGAAAACATGTCCGACAAGTCGTTCACCACCGCCGACGTCGGCACGCACAACAACGATGAGAACGGGTACTGGCTGATTGTCGAGAACAACGTCTACGACGTCACCAGTTGCGTTTTTCCCCCTCCTTTCCCCTTCTCTGAATAGATTCAAGAACTTTTTTACACAGCAAACTACAACTGCCAAGAGAAAGGAGAAATCGCGGTATAGTCAGAAAGCTAACACAGTGATGCTTTGTACACCAGAATTCCTCGACGAGCATCCCGGCGGTTCCAAGATCCTCAAGCGCTTCGCGGGGAAGAACGCGACCAAGGCTTTTTGGAAGTATCATAACGAGAGCGTGCTGGAGAAGTACGGGGACAAGTACAAAATTGGGAGCGTCAAGGAGGCTGCGAAGCTGTAAGAAAAGACAAGACATAACAAAACCAATTTCATACCTCGGGGTGTATGTATACGGGTTCATGCGATTTTGTCAAAGACGATGGTGGGAATTTTGTTACATATCTAGGCGTTTTTTTTTTTTTTTTTTGATTTGGTCCATCTTTTTTCTTGAGTTGAGACTGGGGCTGTGGTTAGATCTGTTGGGGACATGGGGGTGTATACAGACAGACTTCCTCTCGTGGTCTTTGTTTGACATAAGGATTTGTGATTCACCTTGCTTGCGATTCTGTTTGATGGATTGGCATGGCCAAATTTCGTGGGCAAATCAACATAAAGAGAAGGCCGAAAAGCGGTGACTAATGACCCGTCGACTTAAAGAGGATTGTGCTCCCCCAGGTTCGACATTTATTAACCCCTTTGGGCATCGCGCTGAGCACTCACAAGGCTCTCGCAAGGCGGCATCTTGGCCAGCAGAAAGACTTTGCGATCCCTAGAGCAGAGCAGTGGAGAAGGGGTATCAATCGCCGTAGATTCTTATAAAATGTCCATATTCATGAATCTCATCACCTGTTTTCCCCTCTCTTCTTTTTCTTCATGACATGATTATTCCCAGGGATGTGTGCACGCAGATTGTGATTATATCGCCGAGTAATTGGTCAGTCGTTCTTGAATGCTCATCTCTATAGAACAGAGTCTCCTTCACTCATCTCCCAATATACCGGCCTCACCATGTCAGACCTCTTCGACATCAACGCCCTGGCCCTGCGCCTCCAACAGCGAAACCTCCCCCAGCCATCCCCCCAAAAAGCCCACACCCTCCCGCCCATCGCCCTCATCCACGCCGCCTCCGCCGCCCTCCCCAAGTCCTCCGACCCGGCCTTCCTCTCCGGCCAGCCCGCCGCAGACGTCGCCCGCCACATCACCGAGCACATCGTGCCCGCGCTGTGCGGCCAGTCGCAGTCGAGCCGCTACTTCGGCTTCGTCACCGGCGGCGTGCTCCCGCTGGCGGAATGGGCCGACAACGTCGTCTCCCGCACCGACCAGAACGTGCAGGTCCATCTGCCCGAGCAGACCGTGTCCACCATGGTCGAAGACTCTGCGCTCGAGATGCTGACTGGTCTGCTGCGCCTGGACGCCGGGCGGTGGAAGGGCCGGACTTTCACGACGGGGGCAACGGGCAGCAATGTCCTCGGGTTGGCCTGCGGGCGGGAGGCTGTTCTCGCCAAGAGGGGCGCGTCGGTGGGCGAGCTCGGTCTGCTGCGCGCCTGTGTCAAAGCCGGAGTCTCCGAGATCCAGGTCCTCACCAGTGGAGGCCATAGTTCGCTCTCCAAGGCGGCGAGCGTTGTTGGTCTGGGGAGAGCTTCCGTCAAGGAGCTTCCTCGGAGCGCTGCTCAGCCGTGGAAGTTGGATCTTGACGCGGTTGAGAAAGAAATGAGTCGGCCTGAAACAGCAAGCATCATTGCTGTTAGCATGGGCGAGGTGAACACCGGCGGTTATGCTCTCGATGATGTCGACGAGTGGAAGAGGTTGAGAGGACTGGCAGATCGACATGGGGCGTGGATCCATGCGGATGGGGGTGAGTATATATCGATCCTCGAGAGGAGAATGGATAGTTGCAGTGCTGATTGTTTGATGATAGCCTTTGGAATTTTCTGTGCTGTTTTGGAAGATCGAGACGAATATCGGCTGCTTCACAAGCGAGTGAAGGGCATGGATCTGGCCGACAGCATCACAATCGATGGCCATAAGATGCTCAATGTTGTATGAGAACCCCCATTATCGCCTCCCAGCCCTGTCCCTTTGTCTGTACCCAACCCTCTGACACCCTCAGCCATACGACTGCGGCATGTTCCTCACCCGCACCTCGTCCATCCTGGAATCCGTATTCGTCAACCCCAACGCCGCATATCTCTCTTCAGGGCCAAAAGCCAGTATTCCGTCTCCTCTCAACGTGGGCCTCGAAAACTCGAGACGCTTCCGCGCGTTGCCAGCCTACGCCGTGCTCCTCAGCGAGGGTCGTCCCGGCTTCGCTGGGTTATTCCACAACATGGCCCAGCTGTCTCGGAAATTGGCCGTCTTTCTGCGCGATTCGCCGTATTATGACCTGCTGCCCGACGAGAGCGGCGATGTAGAAGATGTTTTCATCATTGTCCTGTTCAGGGCCAAGGATAAGAGGCTCAACGACGAATTGGTGGTGAAGATTAATGCGACGAGGCAGTTGTACGTAAGTGGGACCAGCTGGAGGGGCGAAAAGGCCGTGAGGGTGGCCGTGTCGAACTGGAGGGTCGATGTCGAGCGGGATTTCAAGGTGGTGACGACGATTCTGAACGACGTTGCCGAGGGCAGAGAATTCGATATCGAGAAGTATGTATAGTCCGTAGCGCGGAAAGAAAAAAACAAAGAAAAATAGTCGACGAAATCAATATCGCTCGCAAAACAAAATGTCGTCGTTTCCCAATCCCGGCCGCTCCTCTTCCCCCAAGCAATCCAGCGCCATCTCCATCACAGTGCTCTCCCCCCCAACTCTCCCTCTCCGATACTACTTCTTCTTCTTTAGCCGAACTTCTTGGATCCTCCCTTCTGCGACAGCTTCTTGCCGCCCTTCTTCCCCGGCCCAATCAGCTCCAGATGGCCCGCCCGCTCCCCCAGCAGCGCCTCCGTCTTGGCCGCCATGCCCGACGTGAACTTCTTGATCATCTTGTCCGCGCTCTTTGCCTTCTTGGACTTGGTCACCTTGGACGCCTGGCGCTTCGAGTGCACGGCCTTGGGCGCCGCCGCCTTGCTGGACATTTTGATGGAGCCTTGCGCCATGCTTGTGTTGTGCTTCGTTCGAGGATTGATGACTTGGTCTTCGTTTTCCTCCCTTTCTTTTCTCTTCCAATTCAAGGGGCTGGGTCGGATCCGGTCTTTTCCCTTGAGATGTCCTTTGATCGCGGCAGCTTGAGCCGTGATGGGGGAAAGGCGACGAAGCGGATGTTTGCTTTGGGTGGGATATTTATTTTTCCAACTTTTTCTCGTCCAAGTCGCCGATAAGCTTAGATAAGGCACAGTGGCAACACCACATGCACTGTAAACGCCTGCAGATTCATACAGCCCTATGCGTTCTTCATGTAGACGAAATTCGTATAAAGCTCATTTTCAAGGACACTGGAAAGTATTGCATGAGTCCTGACACATTACTGTTGAAGACGAATGGCTTTTGCATTCCAATTCTAATCCCAACGCCGGCTTGTTTCGCTATATACAACAACAACCTTATTCAGACACTCAAACAGAATAGAGACAATATGTAACCCAGCTCTACCACTCACCCCATCCATCATCGTCGTCTGTCTCTTTGGGCGCCAGATCAATCTTCTTCGCCGCAGGTTTCGTCACCGGTTTTGCTACAGGCTTCGCTACCGTCTTTGTTGCGGGCTTCTTGGCAGTCGTGGTCGTGGTCGTGGTCTTGGACAGCCCCTTTGGCAAAGGCTTGCCTGGTCCTTTCTTCTGCGCTTGCGCCGCTAGCCATCCTGCGAAATCGGGCTCGTCTTCGCCAAAGGGCGTTGCGGACGCAGCTGCAGGTGCCTTCGAAGCCGCAGATGTCGTCCCAAAGCCGTCGTCGTTGCCCCAACCATCACCTGCATTACCAACATCGTCCTTAAGATCGCCCCAAGCGTCACCGGCGGCATCGTCGTCATCAGGCAGAAATTGTCCAGCAATAGCACTTGCAGCACTAGGCGTAGAGAGACCCGATGATGCCGGGGGAGGAGACGTCAAGGTTTGACGGTGAAGACTTGATGCGGATGCTGTGGGTGGCCTCCTCGCCTCGGAAGCGGGTGGTGAAGCAACAGGGGTTGGGGCTGGGCTGCTGGCAGTTTGCATTTCTCCAGCTACAGCAGTGAGCTTATTCGTAAAAGACGAAATGGCCCAGCCTGCCCAGCTGCTTCCGGATGCTCCTGGCTGCACCGTGGCCGCCTGGGCAGTGGAAGCATCGGCCGACTGGGGGGGAGGTAGGGCGGTATCGGGCATGGCAGCAGCAGCCTTGCGAACTTTCTGCAAATAGATATCCATTGCCTTCGAGGCCTGATCCCGGATCATCTTCTCTTTGTCAATCAACGCCGGGCATATAACCGGCAGGATACGGTTGGCACTGTCATCCTCGTTGAAGTATTCAGCCGTGGCGCCCAGCGCCATGAGCGCAGCGTTCCTTGCGTGCACAAAGGGATCCCGCAAGGAGCGCGTAAATGCGGCTATCAGCACCTTTGATCTTGAAGATGTGCCAAGGCTCTTTGCAATCTTGCCCAGGCAAATCGTCGTGTTGGTTCGGATGCCAGGCTGCTCATCATTCGCGGTCTTTGCCAGCTGCTTCAAAAGTTCGCCGTTGATGGTGCGATCAGACAGTTTGCCAATGACAACGAGAACAGATTTCAACGTCTGCTCTCGCACTACAGGCGCTGCATCCGTGAAGCCGGTGACCTTGTGTTCTCATTAGCATTATTTTTTTCGTTCCACAGCAGAAAGGAGGACCGCTTACGAGTTGGGGGAAGATTTTGTCGTTGACTGCCCTCTGTGACAATTGGTCAATGATGAGAGGCAGGTTGTCCAAGAGGCAGACGCGAATGCCCCGATCGGGATTTGCAAAGGCCCGAATAATGAACGGTGTGATTTTCGACTCGAAATCGTCAGAGGGCAACTTGGCAGCTATCTTCAGCACAACAGTAAGAGCTTTGGGACCGCCACCGCCAAACTCGACCGATTTGACCAGCTCTGGCAGGACCTTGGATTTGAAGAATTCTTCAGGAAAATCATCCGTAACTTTTTCCAACTCGCTAGGAAACGCGTTAGACGGGAGAAACCAGACAGGGAACATGATCCGTAAAATCAGGACAGGGGAGCTTACTTGAGAAACTCTTCCCGCTCATCAGGGTTCTTCACCCCCAGGTTCTCAATCCCTTCTGTCAGATGAATCAAGGGGGTGTCGAAAAAGGAGCCTGCTCGGCGTCCAAGGTCGAGGAAATTGCCAGCGCTTATCCGTGCTTTGGGGTTGGCATTGCAAAGCCGTTTGTAGGCAGTCTGCATGCTGGGTGGTATGTTTTTGGTTTGACCAACCTGGTCCGGGCCGTGAAAGTCGCCGTTGAAGACTTCAAAGATGAGGATTCCGAAGTTGTACGAATCCATGGCGTACGTAGGGTGCGCTCTGGTCGCCGCCCATCCACCCTGAGCCACCTCTGGCGGCGCATATCGACCAGAGTCGGGAACCAAGCTTCCGTAGCTCTACATGCAAGATCAGCACTCGCGTCCCAACCTTTGGATATTGGCTCACCAACATCGAGAGCAGACTCGCTGTCCTTGACGTTGCTCAGGACCTCGAAACCCCCTAGTTTCCACTCGCCGCTTTCCGTAGTGTATATAGAGCCGACCCTGAGGCTGCCATGTTTCGAGGAAGCATCGTCATTGATGAATTTGAGCGTTTGCTGGAGTATATCAGCACTTGATTTTCACGGGCGACAGCTTCGACAGGGCTCCTACAGCGACAGTGTGTAGACCCCATTTGATCGTCTCGGGGCTCAGGCTCTTCCTTCGAACGTGCCACCGGAGAGGAGTCACGCGCTCGGTCGCGATGTAGATGTATGTGTCTGTCTGGTCGCTCGACGGTCAGCTCCGAAGCGCAGCCACGGCAGGTCGCATCGCATACCTCGACCGTGTCCAGAACCTTGATGACTCCTGGGTGTCGCAGCGTCCGCAGCTTTCTCAGCGCGTTCTTTGCGAGCGGCAACAAGCTCCTCTTCGCGGCGCTGTCGAAGGCAAAGATGCTGCAGTTGGATCCGTCCTCCTATTTGCCCGCGGCCGTCAGCCTGTGCAACACCGCATGCGCAGCCCGGGGAGGCCAGCCTACCCGCCTTGTGCCATTGTAGAGCGTCCAGATGGATTCGTCGACATCCACCTTGTCGCCAAAGGTGTAGGGGAAAGGAGGGCCCTGGGAGATGGCCGAGGCCACGGCCGACTTGAGGAACTCCATGCGTGAGAGAGGCTATCCGGAACGAGGTCGTCGACGAGGTGCGCAGACGAGCGATTGCATCACCAAGACCATCCGCGTACTGGATCCTGTCTTGGACGAGGTCGCGATATCGCAAAGTGTCAGTTTCAGGACCGGAAGCTCCCCGCTCCCACGTGCAGCTGCACGCACTGGCGCTGGTGCTGGTGCTAGCACTGGAAAGCCTCAGGTCTGCTCTGTGTCCCGTCGCACGGGCGTCGTTAAGCGACTCAGGCCGCTAAAGAGGGGCCGCTCCAGGGCATGGCGTGCTGCAACAGCGCTGGAACGGACGGATAGGGTAGCGGTACAGAAGGCCTTTAGAACACCTCGCCATCGGGTATCTCGATTCCCCGACGCTGATGGCCAAAATCTGACCAGATTCAACGCGCTGTCAAACAGCCATGTGGTATAAAAAGCCGAGGCTTGATTGATCCCACTAGGGTCCAGCCGCAGGACCAAGTAGGCTGACATTTCACCGGAACTAAATGATAACCATGACCTAAGATACTTGAGCCTCTTCAGTCCATGCTGCCACTACCCTTCCCAACTTTATGTACCGGTACTTTGCACCTTCAGAGCCTCTGCCAGCTGTAAGGCGCTCGGGCCACTTCAGCGGACGAACGCTTCAACCTGACCTGCCTTAACCAACAATCTTCCTCCAGCCTTACGTCCTTTCATTTCTCTCCTCTACGCATGCAGCCGCGGGGAGGCGAACAGCTCAAATCTGGCCTGTCCGTCGTCTCTGCTTCAAGGCCCTGCACTCTTTTATCGCCAATCTCTCGACTCTCAGGCTACGCATTTTCAAATCGCCGCGGCTGTCTGCGTCCGGAAGCCATCTGCAGATATCAAGCTGTGCCATGAGCACGGCGGTCTCCATCTATGAGCACAAAGTAAGTGGCTGAGGCAAATGCCTCGTCTTCCCCTGATATCCTTGACATATCTGCGTCCCTTTGGCTCCTCGCCACAATGAATGATGCCACCATGGTAAAAGGTCTGACCGAACGGAACCTCCTGGTTGTGGCCGCCTGCGTCTTCCTGCTCGGAATAAGCGCTGCCGTTCACGAGAACGCGTCAAGCAGCAGCTCTAGCCAGATCCTCGGGAAGGGACTCGATCTCCAGGTTCCTTGCTGGACGGCTTCAAGTGCTGCAAATCAACAACTCTCGCGTCGCACACGGAGTCTCTGTTCCTTGACGCCACGGACGGGGACCAAAGGCCGCGACGCACACTGGCTGCTCATGCGAGCAGTCGATCCCCAAGGAAGACGCTCGTGGCCATAGCCGTTGCTGTTCCTAGCCTGAAGTCACAAAAAGAAACTGAAAAGATCTGACATTGAAGAGCGAGCCCAATTTCATCTCTGCTGTGCCACACTATCCGCGAGAGAGCTCTGCTGACTAAGAACCAGGTTTCCTCTCCCCTTGCGACACTATTCGGGTTTCTCGCCCTCAGGACGAGCGCGGCTTCTCTGGATGGTTCCCCGCAAGTGCAGCATATTGGGCTGACTGCTGGTCTGTGACTTTATCTTGGGCATGACCACGCTGCAGTATCCCTTCATCTTGCCTCGGATCATCACGGCACACTCAGTTGGCGGCTTTCCTCCCTTACCTGGCATGAGATGATATTTCACGGATATCACCTGGAGTCTTACTACATGACTACCAAGGCTCTCAAACATGGATGTCGATGAGGCGATTAGACTGGGGGGCAGATGCTCGGTTTGGGACTGCGAGAACCCCCTAATGGCGGAAGCCCTCTGCTCTACTCACCTTGCCTTCAACTGCCCACCAAATGCTCCTGGCCCCGAATCGACGGTTCAACGACCCTTGCATAAGGCAAAGAGGACGCGGCGCTTCGCTCTTGGGCGAGCACCGTCTCGTCCCGCAAAGAATATCAGTCTGCAGACCGCCGGTACTCCGAAACAAGGAGATGCCACTTTGGCACACTTCAGTCAATTGCCGACGCCGCCTGCCACTCATCAGTTATCAAGTCATCGCGTTTCGAGTCTCGTGCCAGAGCACCCAGCAGTACCGGCACCCGCAAACACTGCGCCGTTGAGGCAGAATAGAGCAACAGTACAGGATGTCACTACCTCGGCAATAGCGGTTGAGAACATACCACTGAGGCCTCGAGAACCCTATTTCGTACTGAATCCCGACATTCCGTCTATTGACAAGAGCCACTCAGAATCTTCGCGCCCACAAACTGCTCGAGACTTACTAGAGAGCAGATATGTGCCAAAAGGGACCAGTCCTGGGGTGAATTCTGCCCTTGTGGATCAATTGGTTCAGGCGGGACTTGAGTATGCATCGACTTTGATTATGAACGCAGGCGAGTTGCCATCGATCACAGTGGCCAATGTACCGAGCCGAAAGGGGTCGAACCCGGTGGACTCACGCAGAGGCGAGGCTCTTACTATGGGTGTGTTTCAAGAATCCGGTCAGCAATCACAAGTCATTGGGAATATCCCTCTGCACCTGTCCCCCAAAAAGCGAAAGGCCGATGCTGCTGATGTTCAGCCCAGGATACGGGAGCCCGCCCACTTCCAGAAGCAAGAGGCGAACTCTACTTCTTTGGCGCCGGAAAGGCGAACCAGATCACGATCTTCAGCCCATCCAGGCGATGGCACTCATACTGCTCCTTCAGGAAAGCCCCCCAAACCTCAAAGCCCCAGGCTTAGTGATGACCAAACCACACGTCACCTACGTAATTCAAAAAGAAATCGCACCTCATATGACCCCATGCCTGTGATAGACATAGCCCAAGCAAAGGTCAACGGGCGACATGAGAATCTTCACAATGTACAAGGGGACATCCCTGATGGCAGTGGGGAACACAGATCGACTCCTCTTTCTCAAGAGCCTCAGCAGCCCAAGCCTCGAGAAATCGGATCGAGGGACGAGCGAGAGAGCATAACCGTTCCACCCCTTTCCACGCCCGAAAAGGAGGTCACAGGGGATGATCAGACTACACCGGCTGCAAGACAGGGCACGGCACAAGAGTTCAGCGCGGCCACGAGGCGCGTTTTTGACTCGGAGGCCTTTGATGCCATGATATATCGGCAATCTTCTCTGCGTCCCCCACCGGGCGTTCCTAGAGAGTCTGCGGCCTGGCCCAAAACCACTGCGCAAACACCCTCGGCCGGAGATCAAAGGCGATACCTGGCCGTCAATCCAGCAATTCATATGCCACATAATCGATCTGATGAGTGGTACAAGCAGAAGGCGCTGGAGATTCAGGGTCGAGGCGGGCGCAAGGCCTGGTTCGGCAAAGTCATCGAACGGCGGAGGTGGATACGACGAGCAAGAGAGAGGGCGGAGGAAGAGGAACGAAACGCAGCAAAGGCGTCAAACAAGAAACCAAAGCGGGTGGATCCGCAGCCCTGGTCTTACAATCGAATCATGGACTTTGGTGATGTTCCTGAGGAAGAACTTCCAGAAGACGTGCTGCAGAATCCTGCATGGGTCAGGGCGTGCGCCTGGCATCGAGAGAACGAGACAAAGAGGGTTTTGCGAGACCGTGCAGCCAAGCAAGCGCACATGGAAGCCTGGAACTATGCTGAAAGCATTAGGAACGATGCCAGACTGGTATCAGAGGGCAGCAAAGGACTCTCGAACCAACGATGACGATACATGCATTATGCCTCCCCCTTATTTGTCAGAAACATACTAATCATCTTTCTTTCTGTCCCCATCCTGGAATTTCAACTCAAGATACTCACTGGCGCATTGATTTACGGTTGGGAGAAAAGACGGCAGGCCTGGGTTGTCAGAAAGGCTATGTTGGTTTGGCGCCACGGCATTACCATGTTATCACGGTGGGCATACAGGAGTCCCGCGTCTCTGCTTTTCGTTCTAAAAGGCGCAGATGGTATTTTTTTGGGGGCGTCAGGCGGGATCACTCAATAGTCTATGTATATAAGATGCCATGTGCTCATAGAGAAGCGCCATTAATGACAAGTATTTGAATTTCAGCACATGCACTGCATCTAGATGGAGAGCGTCCAAGTTCAGATATGATGCTTTCTTTTAGCAATGTAAATCAATCAGCAGAATCCGTGCTATGTGGCCCCTCCCTTTTTCCTTTTCCAAAGCAACAAGTCAAGACACACTCCCATCGAGTTCTATCCTGCATCCATCCAACCCTAACCCTGGTATACATCATCATCCTCTCCCTGCCTTTGCCTCTCCCTTTTCCCACTGTACCACCTTTTCATATTCATGTGCGCTTGGAAAGCAAGTTGAGAGCACTACCCGCCAGAATGAATCCGGCCTGGTCCTTGCTAACGGTATGCTTGGTTGGAATGACAAACTCCTCGCCATTCGCCTTCTTCACCTTGAGCTGGACATCGCCCTTGCCCTGGTTCCGCAGCATGTCGTACAAGCCAATGGTGCTGACCTCGTCGCCGGCCGAGATCCTGTCGTAGTCGGCCTCGTTCTCGAACGTCAGGGGCACGACGCCCTGCTTCTTGAGGTTGGTCTCGTGGATGCGGGCAAAGGACTTTGTGAGGACGACGCGGGCGCCGAGGTAGCGCGGCTGCAGGGCGGCGTACCGGGCTCTTCGACAGCCGGCCGGAGTAGCCGTCGACGTGGTTGTCGAGCATGCTCCTATACTGCGCGCAGCTCTCGGACGAGTTCCTCCGGCGGCTGCGCCCGGAGTTCGGGCGGCGGCTGAAGATGTAGTGCGGGCCGTCGCTCGTCTAGGCCCGCTGCGACCTCGCGCTGCCGTGCGAGCTCTGCAAGCTCCGGCGCCCGCCGCACGACGACAGGTTGCGGACGCCGGGAACGTAGCCGGTCACCGTCGCGGTCCTGCCGCAGCGTTTCCCGTGGGGGTTGCGGTAGGACAGCAGCATGTTGGCGTTGAAGGCGCCGGCGTTGCTGCCGTTGGGCCTCTGCTACTTGAAGGAGCGGAGCGGGCTCCAGCAGTGGCGATACCGGAAACGGCCGAGGTGGTGGAAGTTGGGGCACTGGCTGAGGTAGTTCTGCGGGAGCCCGCGCCTGAAATTCAAGAGCGGGGGTGCGCCGGAGCTCCCGGGCGGGAGCGGGAAGCTCAGGCCGCAGGGGAGGGAGCCACAGGAGAGGGTCGTCGGGCTGGGCTCGCAGCTGTAACGTTAGAGGGGCAGGAGGCTGGCGGAGCGGAAGGAGCTCGGGAAACTCGGGAAGGGGAGGAGCCTGGAGAGGCCGGAGGCGCAGGAGCAGTTTCAGTGCCCGTTCACGTGGTGGCTGTGTTAGAGGCGGCGCCCTGGGACCGAGTTCATGTTCCCGGTGGACGGGTTGTAGTCGTGGTTGTGCGAGTTGTGCCGGCAGTTGCGGCTCTGCCCGCTCCAGTTGCGGCGGATGCTGGAGCTGCCGAGCGCGGTGTGGTAGGGGCTCGAGCCGGTCGCGACCTTCCTGGCGCCGGTCGGGACCGAGCAGCAGCGTCTCGTGTTGATGCCGCTCCCGAGGCGGGCGCTCGTGCGGCGGGAG